TTCCATTATATAAATTGGTTGATGCAGCTTTTCCTGCTCAGATAACCTTAACAAATCAATGTAATTTTAAATTAAAAGCTTTCTAATTTTAACAATTCATAAAAATAAATTTTATGGTGGGGTGAGGTGCGAAACTGTTTCTTAATTAAATAATTATAATCTTTAAGAACCGTTATATATTCGTGTTTTAAATTGTACATTTCCAGTAATCAATTAATTCGTTTTTAAAACAAGAACTGCGAGATTTTTTATTTAAAAAGAACCCAACCAATTTGCATAACTCGGCATTTTTTATTAAATTAAATCAGACAGGCGTGAAATTATTTTCACCGTGTAATTACGCATACTCTTGGGGCACGTGTAAGTGACACCGTATTTTGCCGGACTTGCTAATTAAATACGAAATTAACATAAGTGCGTTAATAATACGGCGAGTCGTAAAAAATAATTGCTGCTTTCAGTCGGCAAGTGGATTACTTCATCCATATTCATTTTTACGGGGTCGAGATGTGCTCTTCCTTTTAATTTATACAAAGAGGCCAGTTATTATTTCATCTACTACCGTTCGCGAGCTTCATTAATTACGTTGCAGTCATCTCCATTCGGTTATGTCAGCCGGTTCCGGGTCATTAGTAAAGTTAATTGGTGTACTTTGGGAATCTCTTCGAACTTTTTTGATTGACACAAACATTTGCATCTAATAAATTTGGGTAAATAATTGAAGACCTGTTATTCAAGTTGCTTCATTTAATTGTGATGTTCCTATTTAATGGCCCCTCTTCTGTCCGAGGAATTGACATGGTCAAGATTAAAAACGAGATAAACGCGGAATGCCATTACTTCCATTTCCTATCGTGGTTAAACTGTTCGGAACGAACTATTCCGATGAGGTAATCTTTAGATTTACGCGGTATTTATTTATAATGAGCTTGCAACTAAATAATAGAATTGATTATGTTCAGTGATGCTAAACTTGCTTGAGTATTTTTAATCTTTTCACTCAATGAATCTCAATGAATGTAAAAGCGTTAAATTAAATTACTTTTAACGATTCAAAGTTGAGGAGATTACAAGACTTGGTTAACACTTCTCTGTTCGGAGTGTCGAGATGCAAATTCAAACAAGCAACGCCGAGTGTGATTTGTCCCGGCACAAACACATTCCCCTCGGCTAGTCATTACCATTGCAATTCCACCCGAAATGAAATCCGCCTAGATATTCGATCGCTCTCCTGCTTTTCAGACTACTCCACTCTCTCCTTTACTGCTATTGCCCTGGTACTACACAGATATCTCGCACATAAAGCCGTCATTAACACCATCTATGCGTCCTCACTCGATTTACATCAATTCAAAACTTAACACTCAACTGTAATAATGTTGTTACTTGTTGCGTTACATTGTGCAGTTGTTTTGAATCTTAAAATAATTGCTTACTGGAGGGAAGAAGTTAACGAGGAAAATTATCCCGTGGGCAGACGAGTAAAGTTGAGGAAGTGCCAAGTTACTTTGATACAATTTTGACCCAAAAGGACGATGTTTCGTCCAAGATTTTCCCACGTCGACGTTGTGTTTCGCGAAATTGTGACCCATTGTCTCTCCTTGAATACCAATGCGACGACTGTTATTTCCAGGCAGTTAATTTCAAGTTGTTATTTCCTTAGAATAGATTGAAGTTAATGACCAAGTAATCGACCGCTTCCATTTACGGTACCCAAATCAACCTTAATTATTATAAGTATTGTCAGTATGAATCAATTTGCTACTCGATCATAACAAATCATCTGTCTCAGTTTAGAGTCTCGATGAAATACCAAGCGATTTGAACAATACCCGGAGGTATTGACCCGACTAGATGACACACGATCCTCTTAGTTGAAGCCATGCTTTATCTTATCCCGGTGGACGTCGTAGCGCTCGAATGAAGATTACTGTAAGGATAAATACCATGTATAGCACATAGCTAATTGGGAGCTATTCTTAATGAAAAATTAACGTTCAACTTTGATCATTTAAAAGTTATTTACGAATACTTCGTTTTACTTAATTCGTTCCCTTCACCAAAACTCTTCACTATGGGTCCGATAATGAACTGTGGCCGAAAAGCAATTACCAAAAAGTAACGTTAACATGTTCCTTTTTGCGCGGTCGTAAACCGTGATTTTTAATTAAACTTCAAAAAGCTACGAGAGAAGACGTGCCGGGGACATCAATTTCCGAGTTCCAGCTCCATCCCCGGCACAAAGAACTGCTGTCTGCTTCAGGTTCTCTTGCCGGATTGATTTAATTACGGAACCAGGGCTGCGGTCGTTCGGATTATGCTCGCGTATGCAAATGAAATGTGTAAACGCGACGAAACGGACGGGTGGAATTCCTTTGAGAGAACGGCACGTTCTTCGTCGATACAACTTGGCCGCGCCGCGCTCTAAGCTTAGGAACATAGAAGAAGAGAACCGCGCTTCAGCACTTTGTTAGAGATATCTTGGACCTCCAGCAATTGTCATAGTGGGTACGATCGCGGTACTTCTGTCGAATGTAGTATACGGCTCATGTTTAATTCAAAAGACGCGGGTTTAGAGTAGATGTTTCTGTGAAGCCGCAAAGACGGGAAAAATGCCGCGGAAAGACTGGATCGACTCGAAACGTGTCTTGAAGTGAAAGGGTTTGCATATTTAACAAAATTTTATCCGTGAGAATCGTTCAATACGGTCGACACATTCTTACCTGCGACATGATATGCGTTTTTATCACTTCGTATAAAATTGCTCTTCCATATATTCAGAAAATATTACATTGAAATGATCATAAATTCAACTTGATTGTGTAAGATATAGACATTTAACGATATTAGTTCATATCAGTCTGGTAACGTTTAATTACAATAAATTTTCTAGGAGACAATTTTGGCAATTTATTCAACCAGTAGAGAATACCCGTGGGAGTAGTGACGCAACAACTAGAACCGCCTGTATGACCCTGATGGCTATTTGATACAAATTCTCTCGAAATGCGACACGCTCATATTCGCCAGATGGCGCGCCCGGTAATAGAAAACAATTCGCCCAGTTAGCCCAAGTTTGCCCCTGGTTATTGTGTTCGGACAAATCAATTTGTGCTATAGCAATAAAAGTCATAGTTGTGTAACACTAGATCAAAGCGTGTACAATATCAAAACAGCCTTTCAATGGCAGCAGGTTGTATATTACTGATTAAATCGCGCGTATTTGTTTTATCTTATAAATTTCGAACGTCACGTTATGCTATATTTATAACACAACATTGGCGTGATTGCACGAAATTTGAAAGCTCAAGAAAAATTGTAAGAGTTAACAAATAAAAAAAAATTAATATAACACGAAAAAGAAAGAAAAGAAAATAGTCGTGTTCAATTAAAGTGCTACAACAAAAGATAAATAAAACCAATTTCATGTTTATAAAAGATCGTACTTTCTAATAACTTCAATTGATTTTTCAATGTGTAATGTGGTGAAAAGCCTCTTACATAGAATCAAAGTATTAAGCTTAAATAGGTTACCTGCGGTCGCTCTCAAGAGAAAATCTTTTCATAAGAAAAATGCTCTCACAACAAAAATAAACCATCTAAAGAACGTTCTTTTAATTAAAATATTTACAATTTCGATAAAAGAGTAAGTTTTCAATATTCGCAATAGCTTTGGGCTGTACGTTTGAATTTCTTGAAGGTATTTGTTGGGGTGGCAAGATCTATCAGTTTCCGAAGTCGTCCTCCTTCCGTGAAGTTCAAAAATGGGCCAGACGCTTCTTTCATGGATTCGTGCTCAGAATACTTTTCACGCTCGAGGGTCGCCTTATTTGTAGAGTGATAAAACGAAAGCTGAAGGAAATGCCGAAGAAAAATATCTCACAAAATTGGTACTTCGCGTTATTTATATTCGATGGTGGAAATATTTCAGTTCCACTACTTCGGGTTGTTTGTTACTTTAGACGTTAATTGAAAACCAATTTTTTTGCTCACGTAAATTCTTTATAGATATGGTTAGTTAAAGTTAATTAAAAAGAAGGAGGAGTTGTTTTCATTTAATTCATGACCATCACCGATGACCTATTAACAAAACAAGCAAGTCCTGAGGCACAAAATATCGTATTCCACGCTGCACCCCACGTTTAATTAAGCGATCCAATAGCATAACAGCCCGGTATTGTAGCTTCTCGCTAGGTGCCTCGGTTATTTAGGGTAAGCTATTTACGTTCCTCTGTTCGAATATTCGTTTAGTTTCTTTTTGGGGTAGCGGCGTTCGTTGCTGCAGCAGTATCAGATCTCAGTAAAAACATCTGCCCCTGCCCTACCTTCTGCACTGACCCCACACAATAAAAATATATTGACTAACTGGGAGGTTTCCAAGACAAAGAACCGGATGTCCGGAATAAATAAAATTAATTTCAAAATTTCCCTTAATATAATGCCATATAAAAAAATCGATTTTGCACGAGAAACGCCTTGGGCTCGTAAAAGACGAGCAGGTTTCGGAATTAATTCATCCAACACTTTGTTGGCAGCAGTAAATGTATCGATTGCACGTGATTTATTTCTGGGTGGAGGCGGAAAGATGTGATCTGACGATTCCGCAGTTGCCTCGCTCGGCTTGTTCACCTCAACTGTAAAAGAAAGTTCGTTGAGCTTCGATAACGACCGTTTCTGCGTGATAGACCTTTATGGCAATAGCCTAGTCACGTTGTTCACTAAATTTTTCGCGACAACATCTGCATGCCTTAACAATTAAATAAGTTATAAGAAATTATTTTTACTACACCCAATTAAACAATTAATCACCTTGGACCTACATTTATTATTGTAATACTCAATGATAAAAAGAAGATGATAAAGATAACATTGTTATTGAAAACAAATTCTTTTCTAGAAACAATGATACCTTTGTAAATATTTATTAATACAGTAACGGCGTTTAATAATGTTTAAAATTAGTGTAAACATATTCTTATCACAGTTTTATAAAAACACCACGTGATGATAATTCTACTACTAACATAGCCCGTTTTAACTATCAACATTTAAGTCATTGAAGTGTTTGTGTTCAAATAAGTTTCAATTTTGAGGTAAAATATTAATTTTTTCGTTAATATCAAACAATTAAAAATAAAACTTTTAGAAAACACCAGATAGATAAAAAAATGTATATCAATCAACAAAGAAAACTTTACACTAATTACTTTATAAATTTCCACCAGGAAATGGGAGAAACAATTCTTTCTTTTTGGGATAGATTAATTACGTCTCATCGAAAATTATTATTAATTATTAAAGACGATGTTAAACCAGATATTTTTAACCCAAATATTTTTGTGTTGAATGTATTTATAAAAGGGTTAAAACAAGATCACATCAGAGAAGCTATCAAGTCCAGTGGCACAAAACATTTATCAATAGCGTTACAGATCGCTTTAGATTTAATAATATTAAATAAATAATCCATTTAAATTTTATAATTTTTTTATTTTACATTTATTAATAAATTTATTTAATTTAATAACAAAAAAATTTACGATAATTCAATAGCAATCTCGATTGCTTCCGATAAGTGTTTTATTCCTCTTAATTCAAGAGCTTCCTTAATACTATCTTCTCGTAATCCGTTCACAAAAACCTTTAACACGACACTATTAAGACAAAGAAGACCTCCTCTTTTGTCATCTCTGAGTACTTCCATTAGTTCACGATGGTACAAAATTAGTCTTTGTGAGAAACACGCAACGTTCTCTTTATCTTTCTGTCTACACTTTAGAAAACGTTCGATAAATACAGTGTTATTATCTTCTGGCTTCATGGTGTCTGTTTTGATGATGTGCGATGTACACGAAATGATTCGCCAGGCGAAACTGATACATCTACGGCGTAAAGCACCCTTTGTTAAGTGTACCGTGGTGCGATATTGTAGAGTTGTTTGCGTACAGCAAGTCTCCTCGGCATACCTTTATACTTTAGGTATGACAAAATTGCACGAGACGATTACACGGTGGCATATTTTTTATTCGTCATCACGTTTGGAAAAAAGCAATGTTGCAATGAAATGTATTTATTGCAAAAAGGTTTTTAAAAAGAAATTTCAAAACTTTTAAAAGCAAATATGTCAACTGTTTAAGTTATAACTCATTTGTTTATCTCCTTAAATAAGGTCAGAATGATTTTTTGAGCTTATGATGTATACAGAAATAACAATAAAATCGTCGTTTTAATTAATTATGTCCCTAAAATGAGTCTGAGTCTACGTTGAAATTGGTTGGAAGTCATTACTGCTTTATTCCCCTATTTCTTTAATTGAACAACACTTGTTTTATATCCATTAACTCAATTTAAACTTCATTATGGGATATTAATTAGAAAACGACCAGGGTGTCCATTCCATGTTCCTAATTACTTTGTTAACAGACGGTTGACTCAGAATACCGCGCCTCGTCTCTTAGGCATCGATTACTTTTTTTCAGGTCGTTAATCGATTATTAATTGCCAAGTATCCGCTTTAATATTATCTTGGAGAGCCGACGCTTGTAATTAAATAGGATATGACGTGTTTACAGTTTGTTAATCAGCGTGGAAATAATAAAAGTGGAGCGATTGTAGATGAATTATAAATTGCTTATGAGATATGTCATTTTGTATCAGTCAACTTTCTTATAAAAAAAAACCGCCGAACTATTTCATTTATTTTTTACGATTCATCTTACCACATCGTGCGGTAGGTCTTGTTATCTTTTACCCTCAACAGGGGTCACATTACGGTTACATAGATAACTCGATATGCTTCCCAGTGGGAGTTCCCATATTAAATTTATGTCCTGAAGATATATCAGTACGTAAAATCACTGAGCAAAATATTGAATGTGGAGATTATCGTGTCTTTTCTAAGCTCCCGTTACTACACGAATACAAAACGATTCGAAGGTCCTTCCGTGTACGTTCCAAACGCATTCACAATGCCAAGGCGACACCGGGCAATATATCATTCCTTTCAACACATAAATCTACGAAAACCACGAGTTCGATACGCATCTCCATTCTAAATATTTACGTAGATATTATCTGAGACGTATATTTTTTGTTTGTTGTTTGATTCTTTGGACTTGCCCACTAATGATAGATATTAAAAGATACAAACGATGAAATGCGTACTTGGCGACCCCGTTTTTATTGTTTGCTCGAATTTATATGTGACTTGAAGATTGGCTGTGAATGGATCGTAAAAATACTTTCCTGAGAAGGAATTTTCAACCACACTACTGAAAAAGATAATGAACCTGTGATTGATTATAAAAGAATTACCCCATAAAAACAAGTTTTTCATTTAAATAGAATTTATATGTAAGTGTGTGGAACACCCTTTAATTTTTATCTTATCATCAAAGCATTTCTCGTAAACGTTAAATGTTGACTACAAGCTTCGATAATTTTTGTCGCTTCGGTAGATGAGATGGTCGCGTAAGTTTTCAGAAAAAGACGTTTATAGTTGAGAAATGGCCCGTTTAACGTTCGAAGACTAAGCGGTCACGAAAGACCATCATAGATACACCACTCTACTTTAATGTTCCATTCAGCTGTAGAAGCAAGCCGTTGGCGTTTGAGTCTTGAATATTTCTTTGCGATGATAATGAAGGTAGGAGAAGTTTCCGAGACGACTTCTCCAAGTTTCTTATCGCCATCACGTGGATTTTTATAACCATACTTGTCCGATTAAACTTACGATTTACTACTTAAAAAAAATGTGTAGGTATCTTAATTTTATTTTATACAATGTGTATTAATACTGATACAAACGTCAGTATCCTCTTAACTTCGCCACGTATGACATAATAATGTGTATATACCATTATGCTATACCATTATTACATGACAAGATAATAGTATTCTTAATGCGCGCTATTATAAAGTTGACAGGTGAATTGCATCGTTATTTTATAGCCGGAAATGCACATTTATTAACCATTAAAAGTATATATACAATTTAATTTACCTTGAAATACAATCTAATTGCTTTCCCAACCGAGAAATCAATACCAAACCGCAAACAATTACGTAGCCAAAGATCGAAATGTTACACAATTGGGTAAATCTTTAATACTGCCACTCACTTAAAATTTTCAATGTTTTAGACTTGACAGCTTCGATTTATAGTCGTGAAAGATTACCGGTCGGCTTTATTTGCTTTCTGCATTATAAGTTGATTCCATTATAGCGTAGGACGGGCTGTAGCTTTTGATTTCACCATATCGTAACAGTAAGCGGATTATTGTTATAGTGAAATCGAAGAGTTAGGTTGCGGATACTGCTTGCAATTACCTTAACGCTTCAGGATAAACCGATTCTCGTTAGTACCAGTTAACTATTGTTGTATTCGCCAGCAAATAGCGTATATAGCGGCTAATAATCAACAATATGTGGGAATTGCAGGAGATTTATATATTAAAAATTGATAATAAACCGAAGAAGTTAAGGTATTATTATTATACATTTATTTATAGGTTGTATTTGCATATCAGGAGAATTATTAGCACTAAAGCAGGAGTACAGCGAAATAAATACGCTTTTGAGGGTGTACACACATTTTCTGTCTAGTGTTAGTTTTAGTGCTAGTGTTAGTTTAGTTTTATTTGTTATTCACTGCTAGATTATTCTATATTTTTACTGAGCTATAACAGACACTGCCTTCCCCATATTGATCCGTTATATCGAGGTTTTACTGTCGAATTATTTTGACATGTTTCATTTAACGTGGAACAAAGTAACAAAGTTTCTATAGAAATATATTTGCGTATATGGCATTTTAAGTGAAATTCACTATATATCATTAACCAAATTAATATCAATCCCATTCAATTCAAATTAATGGCAATCAACCCAGCACATGCTAGAAAAGCATTATATTCACTGTGAATTCTCTGCTCATGGGATTGGACGATAAATCGAACGGTTGCACGTTTACTCATGATAAATGGCCGCAACGACCATTAATGTACTACACGAGTAGCAGTTGGGAGTGTGTGTTTAGTGTAAACACTGATGTTGATGGTAGTGAGTCGACGAAAAACGATCGAAAACCGGTACAATGACGCGCTTTCATTTTTTACTTTTAAACACTGTCGTATATTAACAGAACCTTTTAGATTATCTCGTTCTTGTGAAATAATAAATAATTCCCTCGCGATCTACATCCAGCGATGTAACTGGTCCTAAACATTAATTTCGAGTTGATGGGCGTTTTACGTTTATATCCCAGGAGAAAATACGTTTGGATTTGGGATTTTCGGCAGGAACATGCGATCATAACTTGCGCAAATAGCCATTCGCCGTGCTCGCAACGACCTATTTTCTAAAAGCGTTTAAACCGTGAACGGATTTTGGACGTAGCTTCGCCCGAAAATCCGGTAATTATAATTTGAAATGTTTTCTCTCACTCCCACATTCACAAAGATCGGCAACAAGAGGCTAATTGAATTGGCGCACTGTTTCCGGTCATTTTCAACTGAATATGAGCGTCCGATCCTCCGGAGGCTACTCGTTCCGAGAGGCTTAATATAAAAGCGCCGAACGAGTTCCGATGGAAACGGAATTGGAACACGGATAAATTACCATAAATTGTCCAGAGTTGCGTCGTTATATAAAGAAGCGAGCTTAAATTACTCTTCTACTGCTTTAATCATATTTACTCAATGTTCGTGTTAACAGAGAACTGTAATATTTCCTTTACTTCTCACCTATTTAAAAACGTAATTCTTTTTCAGTTACTCAACATAAACATCTAAAGTGATCTCTGGTTTCTTTCGCGAATACTTACCGTTTTTGTATTAGGTTTTCTTTTAACGTTGACGCTTACCGAGGGTTTCCGACTTTCAAAGCCGCTTTTCGTCGATTTGTTTTTGCGTAGATTTAAGCAGAGGATTTCCTGCGACGGCAACGGTAGTGCAAATCCTATTACGTGAACAAAGAAAATCTGGGGCAATGGAAACGTAGAAAATGGAATTTTAGATGCATGCTGAAACCGCGTGCGCGAAAATGTGCGCTCCCTCTTTCTCGCACTTTTATTTATCGCCGTTCGGCGATTTAAACTGCGAGGCTTAAGGGTGAATAAATTCCGCCTTTGAAGTACGGTTGTCGGGTAAAAGACACTCAAGGGATTTCATAAAGTATTGAATTTCACCGGGCGAGGATGGCCCCGGTGTAAAATAGTGTTCCAGATCCACGTAAAAATGTATTGAAAGTCGGTAACACACGGTGGGAAAGAAACCATCTGCTTCTTGATACAGTCTAAATAAATTTTTCGATATATATTTAATAAATAAATATGTTTGATAGATGTTAAGCCTAATTTATGGTTGTGGACGTTTGGGATCGCAATGGATAATGCACGTAATTTCGGGATTGTACAAGACATGACATGTGCCAAAAGCAATGTAAACGCTAATCGGTTCCATGTACTTCCTCAATACATCCT